AGGCCAGCCACGACGGGCGATGTCGACGGTCTCGTCCATCTTGCCTGTCTTGCTGGGCTTTCGGAGGTAGTCTGGGTTGATATGGATCGTCACCTTCAGCATCTTCGCCTGTGGTGGTAGCACCTGGCCCTTGGTCAATCGAAGTGCTTCGCCGGGCCTGAGGTCGGTGTCCACCATCAGTAGCCAGTGCAGCGCCATCTGGGGCTTGCCGCTGATCTGCCAGAGCCTTCTCGCAATCCCCATGCAGGCCGCCCACGGCAGAGGCCGGCGGGCCCGCGAGGGTCGCATCACCCGCCAGTCCCGCAGCGCACGACGCGCGCGCGGCAGCGCCAGGCGGCCCTTGCTCTGGTAGCCGGGCACGTGCATGACTCTCGCCGCGATGAGCTTCTCGCCCGTCAACGCGACTTTCCCTGCTAGGTAATGCTCGTCGAAGAACCGCACCGCCGCGGCGTTCAGAATTGGCGCAGCCACCCCCAGCGTTCCCAGCCTGCTCGACCCGAGAAAATGGCCCAGCAAATTGCGATACTGGTCGCGGCTCCGCTTCCCCACGGCGGCTGTCTCGGTAATGGAGCGCTGGCAGGCGGTGCCCCTCGCCTGCTCGCCAGCGCCCAGGCGCCGCCGCACGGACCTCGGCATCTCCCGCAGCGGGGCGGAGGACGCGCTGGGCGGCGCGAAGCTCGGCAGGAACGGCCGCTCGACCAGGCGCTTCAGCAGCGGCCCTGCATGTGGCGCGCGCGCCGCGCGATCGGCCGTCGGGCGATCCGCTCTCGCGAGCGTCGCTCCCTGGGCGGCCCCAATCCGCGGCCGTGCGGGGCGAGCCGCCGCCGCTGGAAGAGCGCGCGCAGACCGCGGTGGCAGCAGGGGGCTTAAGCCCAGGGCGGCCCTCGGCACCCTGCGAGCCGCTGCAGCTGGCGCGGCGCGGCCGCAGATGTCGGCCCTGCGCAGCAAGGTCTCACCAGCCCGCAGCAGGTGCTCGGTGTCCGTCAGCACGCTGGCGGGCACGGCTGGCGCCATCGGCGCCGTTCAGCTCGCTGGGCACCCATCGTCTGTGAACCTGGGCGCCCGTGGCCAGGGCGAAGGCGGCCCCTCGGCGAATAATATTGAGCAAAGAAATATGACGGCAACGACCTTTACAAAGTGCAAGTGTGAGCGCTAGATGAACTCCCAAGACCACATGTCTCTTCCTCCACGAATCCGCGTCCGAAATGATCCACTTGACGGCGTGCACATCTCCTCTTGCCTCTTCACGATGCATGGGCTCCTTCCTGACAAGGGGGATGTAGCGCAGCAGCTCCCAGCTGCTGCGGCGGAGGACGTGCGCAGACACTTCAGGCACGTGTTTGCCATACTCACCCCTCAACGCTGCGATCTACGCATCGCCTTCGAGAAGCGCGGCCTCGGCCGCGCGGGCCGCGCGGTCGCGCGGCCGCCAGCTGCCGCCCTCCTCGCGGGCGCGACGGAAGCGTCACCTCTCGTGCCAACGGTCAGCAGCAGTCACGTCCTCTGCCTTCCACTCGGCTATCATCGACGCGCGGCCCGTCTCGCAAGCATCGGCGACGACTACCTGCGGCGACCAGGGGGCGCCGAGCTGGGCGCAGAGGGCGATCAGCACCCCGCGGAATATCCTGAACTCCTCCCGCGCGGACGCCCAGAGAGGCCGAGCGCGCTGATGGCCCTGCTGCACAGCGGCGCAGACGGCGCCGAAACAGCAGAGGCTCTCGCGACGGCAGGGCGCCGCGAAGGCACAATGGCCAAGGACGTGCTCGATGTCGCGGCTGGTGACACTCGGCCGTCGCTGAACCAGGTAGCCCAGGCCTAGGCTGAACTTCCAGAAGTGCTTTGAAGCAAGCGTGGCGCGCGCGGGCCGCCCTACCAGCTGCCCGCCCAACATCACCATGGACTCCGAGGCGTCGGTCTCGTCGTGCACGGCGAGCCCAGCAGCCTCCAGCGCCTCTGAAGCCAGCCGCCCGATACGGGCGCCCCTCTCGGCCGCGAAGAACACCCCGGCGCCCTCAACCCTGGACTTCCCAAGCACAAAGACGCCTCTGGAGACCCCAGACTTCACGAACTACATCGTGCGGTTCCTGTCAAGCACAGGACCCATATATAGCCCGGGCCCCCCGCCCCCCTTCCACGACTGCGTCGAAGCTCGGTGGCGGCAGCAGCAAGGCGTGGTTGAGGTCGAGGAGTGAGCAGCGATCGCCGTCCCCGAGACGATCAGCAAGCCAGCCAGGCTCGTTCCCGCGTTGGGGCCAGCTCGCGAGGCGTGGCGCATGCGGCCTCAGCGGCAAATCATTTGTCGCGTCGCAGCGTAGACACGGGCGGCCCAAAAGCTCTGAACAGGCTTCCCGGGCCGACGCCGCCGACGGGGCCTCCATCTGACGATAGAGACGGCTGACGCGTCGAAGTAGAAGGTCGCCCATATCCGAGTGGCGCTCTGGCGTGCACCGCGGCGTACTGTAGCCCCCGAGCAGGTTGAGGCACTCCGAGGGGCCCCGAGTGCGCCCCTCGATGGACTGAGCGCGATGGAGACATGCCCGAACTGAACGAGAGAGAGCCCAGGCGGGCGAAGGACGCGGAGCAATTGGCGCAGCGGGCGCAGCAAAGGGCAGCATCCCATCGCCAAGAGGATGGTCATCAGCAGACCGACAAAACTGGCTCTCACGAAACAGCGGACGGGTCGAGCTACCTCCCGTCCGCTGGCTCCAGTTCACCCCTGCCCCTTCTTTCCAGAGGCGGCGCTCTTCTCCTCGCGCGCCTTCCTCCTCTGCTTCTGGATCTCGGCATCCTTGGCCAGCTGCTCGGTCGCGCACTTGGCCAGCCCAGGCGCGACTGCGACTCCGCGGCGGGCACTCTGCTTCGAGCGGCCGATGTAGTGCTCGACCCCCTTGATCTGCATGCTGCCCATGGCCTCCTCCACGAGCTGGTAGGTTCTGGCCACCACCTCCATGCAAGCCAGGTTCGAGCCACCTGGTCGTAGGTCTGCGCGAACTCGATCGCGAGCCCGAAGAAGTGCGCCGCCGCCAAATCATTCGTGCTGCCGCTCTCCGCTCTCGCTCATCCGCTTGGTCTGGCTGCCATCAGGCGTGCCACCGTGCTCCGCGATGCACTCGCAGAGCCACTTGTAGCTCCGCTCTCCAGACAGCAGAAAGTCGTCCAGCACCTCCTGCCGCATAGGCGCCACCGACTCGCGGAAGTCGAGGCGGCGCCAGCCCTCGCGGTTCCTGGCCAGTTGGCCCAGGAGCCGAGCGCCGTCCCCGTCCTCACCAGCTGGCTGGGCAGGAGCCGCCGAGGGAACCAGCTCCATGGGCACGATGAAGCCAGAAGGCAGCCCGTGGAGCCCGCTCTCGCCCCAGACGACGTCGCCCGCGATCGGGGAGATCTCGTCGCCGCGCTTGATCCCGGTTCCCGCCAACTTGCCAGCAACCTAGGTCATCCCAGGAGGCGGCGCCTCCGCGCTGAGCAGCACGCGGGCGCCGACAACCCTGGGCGGCGGGGTAGGGGGCCCACCGATGCCCGCGGGCTCGTCGTCGGCATCATCCCCGAGCCCAGGTGGCGCCGCGACGGGAGCAGGCAGAGGCGTGGCAGCCGCGGACGGGAGACCCCCCGCCGCCGGCGCCAGCGAAGGCGCCTTCCGCGCCAGCCGCCGATAGAAACCAGGAACATCCCCGAAGCTGACCGTGGTGAAGCCTCCCAGCACGTCGCCGTTCCGCACGTACGTCGCAGGCTCGTCGACGTCCACGCCAGCGATACGCATCTCACGCCGAGCCGCCCGCACCATGTCCAGCATCTCCGCCTCCGAGGGATACGCGCGGAAGCGGTGCACGCGGCCCGCAGGCCGCTTGCGAGCGGGCGTGGCCCCGAAGGTCAGTGATGCCTGGTCGGGACCGTCGCCGTCAGGCGTAATGATGGTCCACCGCGTCGCAGGCCGCTGCGAGCCGGCGGGCCAGATTAACACGCGCTCGTGCCGAATGCCGCGGTCGTCGCCATAGTGAAAAATGACGCCGCGGCCTGGCAACAGCTCATTGAAGAACTCCGCCGCCTCGGCGGCGCTCCCCTCGGCCCTGTACAGCTGCAGGCGCGGCATCAGCGCCATGCCGACTCGAGCGGTTCCAGCTGTATCCACACGCGTCCACGATCTGCGCAACGATGCCCGTCACGACGAGTCCGAGGGTGTGCGCGTAGAACTACCCCGCGTCCGAGCCCTGCTGAGCCTGCTGCGAGCGGACCTCGCGGAGTTCCGAGGACAGCAGCGCCAACTCCGCGTGGAGCCGCGCGAGGTCGTCCACGCAGCCCGACAGGTTGCGGGCGCAGGCGACCGCCCGCTCCGCCTGGCGAGCAGCCGCCGCGGCCTGCAGTGCCGCCGAGGGCGGCTGTCCAGTGGGGCCCCCGCCGCCGCCGCCGCGCACGAGGCCGGGCCACCAGGCGTCCAGCGCACACCAGGCACACACGAGGAGCCACGCGGGAGCCTGAGGGAGCGGGGGGCGCATAGAAACACAGGTGTTCCCTGGAGGTAAAAGGCTTGAGCGAAACAGAACGGACTCTGTGCATCACCCCCTACACGTTCGCAGGACAAGTCTCAGCATCATCAACATCCGCATCATCATTCTCATCCTCATCCTCATCCTCATCCTCGTCCTCATCCTCATCCGCATCCTCCGCCTCCTCGTCCTGCCACTCCCTCCTGCCACCTCCTGCCTCCTCCTGCCCCTCCCCATATTCGCCCTCTCCTCATCCGCCCCCCATACACCTTCTTTACCTTCTGCTTCCTCCTTCTCCTCCTGCTTCCCCTCCCCCCTTCCCCCTGTCCTCCCAGCTCCCACTCCCCTCATCCTCCTGATCCCCTCCTCCTCCTCTTCTTCTTCTTCTTCTGATTTTCTTCTTCTTACTCCTCATACGACGACGACGACGACGACGACGACGACGACGACGACGACGACGACGACGACGACGACGACGACGACGGCGGGGCGACTGCCGCCGCCCCAGCGGGCGCGCGCCTGCGACGAGGAGGGCGTCGCCCGCGCCGCCCCCGCCGCGCCGGAGAGGCCCAGCTGCCCCAGCTCCTGCTGCACGTACGTCTGCGCGTCCTCGCCTCGGGCGCAGGCCACGCTGGGTCGCTGTGGGCTGCCGCCGGCGAGGGCGTCGGCGACAGCGGCGGCGAAGACGGCGGCGGCATCGGCGACGACCACGGCAGCCGCACAGGGTGCTTGGAGGCGCCACTTTCTTCCCCCTTTCCCCATCTCGACGCACCCCCTCTCCTCTCCCTGCTCCCACCTATTCCTCCCTTTGCACCTCTTCGTCCTACTCCTCCTCGTCGTCGTCGCCGCCGCCGTCGACGTCGTCGTCGTCGTCATCGTCGTAGTCGTAGTCGTCGTCGTCGTCGTCGTCGTCGTCGTCGCCGCGGCCGTCGAAGTCGTCGTCGTAGTCGTCGTAGTCGTCGTCGTAGTCGTATTCGTAGTAGTCGTCGTCGTCGTCGTCGTCGTCGTCGTCGTCGTCGTCGTCGTCGTCGTCGTCGTCGTCGGTGTTGTAGTCGTCGTCGTTGTCGTCGTAGTCGTCGTCGTAGTCGTCGTCGTCGTCGTTCCCCTCGCCCTCCCGCAAGCATTGCACCCCTCCCAGGCCTCAACCTCCCCCGTAAGGTCCTCCTTCTCGCCCACCCATCTTCGTCATCGCCGCCGCCTCCCCCGCTGTCGTCGACGTCGTCCTCGACCACGCCCTCGCCCTTCGTCCTCCTCCTCCTCCTCCTCCTCGTCCTCCTCTTCCCCCCCTCGTCCTCACCATCACTCCCGTCGTCCTCCTCTTCCTCCTCCTCCTCCACCCCCCTCCTCCCATAGGAGAGATGCCACGAGGCGAAGGAGCAGGAGGAGGACGTATACAAGGATGATGAACAGGAGGAGGGGTGAGTTTTGACAAGGACGGCGACGAGGAAATAATTAGAGGATCGACCAGGGACCCGTCTCGACTGTAACCCCAGGGCACTTCGGATGCTTGCCCCTCGCCAAAAGCTTCGAATTGTCCTGGGTGTGACGGGTGGATCGATCACTGCAGCGCTTGGACAGTCCTCGAATCTGTCCGCGGCTGGAACCACATCTGCACCTGGGGCACACAGTGAGCAACGCGCTACCACTGCACTCACGTGATATACAATTGTGGCTCAGACCTCCGGGGGCAGATCCAGCGAGGCCGCGCACCTCCGCTCTCCTCGCTTCGCTCTGCTACACTTCAAGCACAAGAAACACCTCGACATCTCTGCCACTCGTGACCTGGGGGAAAAGACGGCGCCGACGGACCGGAGCCGACACTTCGGCCAGGAGTGGGAGAAGCGAGGAGGCAAGGTTGCAGACAAGCTTGGCAAGTCTGATTCGACGCTGGAGCTCCGCTTCTTCATTCTCGGACCAAGAAGGGTGCATTGCAGCTCCAGCTCGAGCGGCGGCATGGGCTGCAGATTTTCCCAATCTGCGCCGCCGCTCGGGAAAATCTAAGCCGTCCACGCGTGGGTCCAATTGGGCTTTAACATTGACAACATCCCTGACCCATTTGGCCCCCTTAGCAAAATATTACATCATGCCTGGAAAAGATCTAACGCAGCTAAGCTGCTGCTCGGGAGGCTGCTGCCTCTGCTTAACAACACAAGACAGTAATAACAGATAACACTACCACCTACTAGCTGGATCGCAGCAGTCACAAACTCTGAAACTCACCTGCCTGGGGGGAGGCCACCAATGGGGAGGGGGAGGGTCTGAACAACCTGCCTTCCACATCTCCACCACCCAACAGTTGAACAACTCCCCACCCAACACGTCAACGCTCACGAGGACTATATATGACGACTGCAACTCCCATTTAAGAAAAAGGTTTCCCTGGAAATATCCATGCTACCGGACAAACACCCCATCCGAATTTTTGAGGACTGTCAAGCTATGGGGCTATAGGGCTATAAGACCATAAGGGGTATAGGTCGATAGGGAAATATGGCGACAGGCATATGGAACTATAAGGTTAGAGGGCTATATGGTTCTAGTATTTCAAGGCTTTAAGGCTATAGGGCCGTAGGGCTATAAGGGCTATAGGACTATAGGGCTATAGGGCGACTGGGCTATAGCACTATAGGGCCACAAGGCTATGGGGCTATAAGGTTATAGGGCTATAGGGAAATAGGGCTATGGAGCTATAGGGCTATAGAGCTACAGATAGGGCTATAGGGGTATAAGGCTATAAAGCTATAGGGCTATAGGGCTATTGGGCTGTAGGGCTATGAGGGCTATGGGGCTATAGTGCTATATGGCTATAGGGCTATAAGGCTACCGGGCACCCGGGCACCCGGGCGTGACACCGAAATCGGCGCCGTACCTCACCTAACCGGGCGCTCCTGCTCGGCCCATCTGCGCCGGGGGGGGGGGCTCTCGAAGGGCTGCGCCCTCGGAGCTTAGAGCTGATGACTTCGGAGAGGGGACCGTGAAATTACTTGTCCGCGCCGGCCGCGGTCCGGCAGTCGGCCATGGGTTCTTGCACGCCGAGATATCCTCGCAAATGAAACCTACCCCTCCTCTCTCAACGGCGCTGACGCTGGAGTTCTCGTTGCGCCACCGTCTCCAACTCCGACTTGGGGGGCCGCCGGCTGAAACCTCTTGCCGCCCTCGAACACGATCAGCATCCCCACTGCCTTCTTCTGGTTGAGGCCAAGGAACTTGCCTGGCTTCGTCAAAGTCTCCTCGTTCGTGCCCGTCGGGGGCGTCGCTCGGAAGTTTGGGGGTCGCATTGATGCAGATCTGGACATTGCCATTGCCCGTGCCCTCCTCCCAGAACTGCTCGTCCTCGTTCGGGTTCATGTCGTCGCTGTTGCGAGCCCTGTAGCTCCTGCTGACCTCGCGCAGCTTGATCGTCTCGGTGACCATGGCCTGGCTGTAGGCGTTGCCGCCGTCCACCAGCATCAGGAAATCGTCCAGACCGTCCATCGCCCAATCCATCGATGCTGCCACTGATGTGGCATCGTCTTTCTGCCATTCCGTCGCTGCCTCTTGGATGCCTTCCATGAGCGCCAGCCCTGCGCGGGCGCCGGGCGGTCCGAGCAGCTGCCCCTTGCATCTCACCCTGGCCAGGTTCTCGCGGCAGCGGCCCGCTGCCATCGACTTCCGAAGCGCCCCATTGCTGACTGGGGCGAGGTAGAAGTCCGTGGCGAGGTGGCTCATCTCTCGCATCTCTGCCGCCGAGCGGAGGGCTAGGCGCTGGAGTCCGCCGATGCATCCTCTGAGGTCGGGCTCCCCGCAGTCCCCCGTTGCTTCGGGCTGCTGGCGGGGGGGCCCGCGGCCCCCCCCCGCCCCCGCCCGCCCCCCCCTCCCGCTGCCGCGGCCGCGGCCGAAGGTGCGCCCCCTGCTGCCTAGGCGCTGGCCGCGCCCATTGCCTTTGCCGCCCTCGCGGCGCCGCGCCCCCCCCCCCCCCCCCCATCTCTGCGTCGGCCCCCCGTTTGGGAGGGGGCAGTCGCCGAGATGCACTCGCCATCTTTGGGGGGCAAGATGCCGCGGGGCCCTGGATGGCGGCGGCGGGCGCGCATCTGACCCCCCCGCTCTCCAGGGATTGAACCTGGTAGCCGCGGAGAGCATCCGGGGGAAGAGGGCCCCTGCGCCGGGCAAGTTCCTGCTTGCACAGCAGATCCCGAGTCTCTTCGCGGCCAACGCGGCATGGTCGAGCGCATTCTTTCCGCGGCGAACGATCTCAAGCGCCATGGGCGCTGGTTGGCCCCCGCCAGGTTGGGGATCAGCGGCCAACAGTGGCGCGCCGCTATCCCGCGAGCCGCAAGCGCCGCAGCCTGTGCAAATTGCGCCCCGCGCACCAGTCCCTCCGCGCGTCTGGCGGGGTAGCGCCCCATCTCTGCCCTGCGTTTCGTGGTGTGCTGGGGTCCCTCGCACCAGTTTGGAACATGGAGATGCCTGAATGCCCATGCGGGTGCCAGCTTGCCGCGCCCTCGCCAACGTCCGCCAGTGCCTGCAAGTCCTTGACCGCCTGCTGCGCCCACGGTGTAGACGCCGCGCGTACTCTCCCATTCGCCAGTCGCCTGGCTCCGCAAGGACACCCGAGCTTCGATGTTCCAAATATCGCCGCCAGTGCACTGCCGAAGTCCTCTGGATGCTGCGCCCATGTCAGGCGCCATCGTAGCCCGCGGACGCGCAGCGCAATAGCGCAGCGCGGCACCCTCCACCACTTGAACACCTCCGTGTTGGAGTAGCATCTGGTCGTTCCATCCTCTTGTGCCCAGCTCATCCTGCCTCCTGCCATCCTCCTTAATAGTATTGCCATGCCGAGGTCTAGCGCGTCGTAGTGGCGATCCTCAAATACAAATGCCAGCAGCCCACTAAACTAAGGCCCGCCCCCGACGCTAGCGCCTGGAACATATCCTTTCGCGACTCTGTCCGATGTATCTGAGGGCCAGAAGCAACCGCGTTGCCTGTAGGCTATCTGCATGGCCTCGCGCCTCCATCTGATTTCCCCCGCGTAGCCTCGGTCACCTGGCAAGTGTGGGCCCGGCGCGCGCATCTCCCTCATCGGCGTGCCTCTGAGTCGTCCTTCCCTCTGAAGCTGTCGCGCGATCCCCTCGCGCCCTGGGCCAGAGAAACCAAGCGGTTGGTTTCGGCTTGGTTGAGACCCCGGCCCCCCCTGGCCAACTGGCGCTCAAGGCGCCCCGTGGTGGCGTTGATCTGCCGCGCAATTCTGCGCGCCTGAGAAAGGGGCCCACCTCCCCTCCAACTGACGCCCCCCCACGAGCCGAGATACCCTCGCCTTCGCCGAAAATTGGCCGGCGCTCCGAGATCACCTCGCCAAATCCAGTCTGCTCCTGCGTCTAGGAGGGCGGGCCCATCGACGCCGCAGCGCGGATCTTGGCGATGTCGCCCATGAGCTCGTTGAGCGAAGGGGCGCGCTACATCTCCGTCATCGGGTTCATCGTTTCGCGCACTGGTTGCACATCGCCCTTCCCCCTCTCTCCCTGGCGCCATTGCCCCGCGAGGAGATTGCAAGTGCCATTCAACTGTCGCGGGCAGAGGGTAAATCCAATATTCGCCCCCTGCGCGGCCAGTGCGTAGACCCAGTCGTCAGCGCACC